CTATGCCTGGACGACTGGCACGGATAGCGGCCGCGCTCAGGGACCACCCCCTGCGCACCCCCTATGGTGTCGAGAAAGTGCCACGCCTGCCCCTATGCCTGGACGACTGGCACGGATAGCGGCCGCGCTCAGGGACCACCATGCGCACCCTATGGTGTCGAGAAAGTGCCACGCCTGCTATGCCTGGACGACTGGCACGGATAGCGGCCGCGCTCAGGGACCACCCCCTGCGCACCCCCTATGGTGTCGAGAAAGTGCCACGCCTGCTATGCCTGGACGACTGGCACGGATAGCGGCCGCGCTCAGGGACCACCCCCTGCGCACCCCCTATGGTGTCGAGAAAGTGCCACGCCTGCTATGCCTGGACGACTGGCACGGATAGCGGCCGCGCTCAGGGACCACCCCCTGCGCACCCCCTATGGTGTCTAGAAAGTGCCACGCCTGCTATGCCTGGACGACTGGCACGGATAGCGGCCGCGCTCAGGGACCACCCCCTGCGCACCCCCTATGGTGTCTAGAAAGTGCCACGCCTGCTATGCCTGGACGACTGGCACGGATAGCGGCCGCGCTCAGGGACCACCCCTTGCGCACCCCCTATGGTGTCGAGAAAGTGCCACGCCTGCTATGCCTGGACGACTGGCACGGATAGCGGCCGCGCTCAGGGCACCCCCTATGGTGTCTGAAAAGACGATTGGCACGGTAGCGGCCGCGCTCCACCCCCTGGCCTGCCACGCCTGCTATGCCTGGACGACTGGCACGGATAGCGGCCGCGCCCCCTGCGCACCCCCTATGGTGTCGAGAAAGTGCCACGCCTACTATGCCTGGACGACTGGCAGGGATAGCGGCCGCGCTCAGGGACCACCCCCTGCGCACCCCCTGTGGTGTCGGTCGTGGATAGCGACCGAGCTGAGAGACCACCCCCTGCGCACCCCCTGTGGTGTCGAGAAAGTGCCACGCTTGCTAGGCTTTGCACCAATGCCACGAGCTGTGCTGTGCTGTGCTGAGCTGAGCCGTGCTGGGCTGTGCTGAGCTGTGCTGTGCCGTGTGCTGAGCTGAGCTGGGCTGTGTGCTGTGCTGAGCTGAGCTGTGCTGTGCTGTGCTGTGATGTGCTGTGCTGAGCTGTGCTGTACGAAGAGTGAGGTGTGTGTCGCGGGTGCGGCGCGGCATGGAAGAAAACCAGAATCCCACGAAGCATGTGGGGAAAAACCAAAACCAAAACCGAAAAGGTTCAACATGTCAGGCACCCCTGTGATGAATCAACGAGGGGCGGCGGATGACGGAAAACAGCGTGCGATCCGGAAGAAATGAAATCAAAAGGAATTTGAAGGGGTGGCATCTGCACTGCGGGATGACGGAAAGCGCGCGTAGCGTGCGATCCGTTAGTCGGAAGGAATTAGTTAGGGGGATGGTGAGGGGGTGGCCTCTGCACTGCGGGATGACGGAAAACGCGCGTAGCGTGCGATCCGTTAGTCGGGAGGAATTAGTTAGGGGGAGTGTGAGGGGGTGGTATCTGCATTGCGGGATGACGGAAAGCGCGCGTTAGCGTGCGGTCTATTAGTCGGAAGAAATTGGACTTGGGGGAGTTCGAGGGGGTTGGCATCGCGACGCCCGAGATCTAATTGCCCTCCCGCCTCGTTTTTTATCGAGTAGGACGGCCTTCGGGGCTCAAAATTCGCGTTTCGCTCGAGACATCATCGGAAAACGCTTCTTAGGCGCTTCTTGGGCCGTTTTAGGCGCCTAAGACAGCCCAAGAAGCGGCCAAGACGGCGCCCAAGACGGCCCAAGACGGCCCAAGAAGCGCCCAAGACGGCCCAAGAGCGCTCCAAGAGAGCCCAAGACCGCCCAAGGCGGCCCCAAGACGTCCCAAGAGGCCTCCACGACGCCCCAGGAGGCGCCCACGAGGCGTCCCAAGAGGGACCCTAGAGGCCAAAACCATTGATTTTCTTAAGGGAAGCGTACATTTCTAGCATATACTGCTTTTCGCTTTTCATGGTGTTGAAGACGGTCCAAGAGGCCCCCAAAACCGCCCCAAAATTGCCCAAGATGTTCCCAAGAAGCACCCAAAATAGCCCAAGAGGGCGCCAAGACGGGCCAAGAGGCGTCCAGGACTCTCCAAGAGGCCCCCAAGAGCGCCCCAAGAGGCTCCCAAGAAGGCCCCAAAACGGCCCAAGAGGGCGCCTAGACGGCCCAAGAGGCGCCAAGACGGCCCAAGACGGCCCCAGGACGGCCCCAAGAAAGCCCCAAGAGGCCCCCAAGAGAGCCCAAAGACGGCCAAAGGCAGCCTAGTCCCTTCACCCCCGCAGCCCAGAAGCTCCCAGGAGGCCCCCAAAGGCCCCCGAAAAGCCCAAAAGGTCCCCAAGAGGCACCCAAGAGGCTCCCCAAGAGCCCTCCAGGAGGCCCAAACTACTCCCAAAGGCTCTTAGCACCGCGGCTCCCAAGAGCGAGCGGTGACGTAATCGAGCTGATAAGACCAAAACTCCCAACAGAGAGCTGCGGCGTAATAAGTTCTTGACGCCAGGGCACAGGGACGGGCGGCAACGCATGGACAACGAGCGGTCCACGCAAGGAAAACGCGGGGTTCTGGAAAGCTGACAGCCCAAACGCGGAACGCGCAACGCGACCCGACCGCCCCCTCCAAAACACGAAACCGCTCAAAGAAAGCTCCGCGACTCTCCGAGGCTGAGATAGGACAAGAGCGAGGGGAAGGGAGCCAATAAGATGTGTAAGAGCGGACGAGCCAGCGATCCCGTGCGCTCTGAAAGTAAGTGCGCTTTCCGTCCCCGTGCCAAGCAAAGTCTAATGGCCCGCCCTTTTCCCTCGTCAAGGAGTCCTTAACAGGGAAAATCCGGTGAAAAATTGCCCAAGACGGCCCAAGAGGCCCCAAAGAGGCCTCCAAGACGGCCGAAAAGGCGTCCAGGAGGTACTCCAGGAGGGCACGAATAGGCCACAATCATTGATTTTCTTTAGGCTTTTGAAGGATTTTGGCATTTGCTTCTTCTCGGCACTCCGACGGCTCAAGACGACCCAAGAGGCCCCTAAGATCGCCCAAGAGGCCTCCAAGATGGCTCCATGACGGCCCAAAAGGCCCCCAAGACGCAGACAAGCCAGGAAGGCCCTAAAACAGCTAAAGAGGCTCCCAAGAAGCCCCCAAAGGCCCCCCAAACCCTCCAAGAGGCCCACAGGAAGCTCCCAGGAGGCCCCAAGAGTGCCCCAAGGGGCGCCCAACAGGCCTCCTCCTCCTCCTCGTCCTCCTCCTCCTTTTTTTTCCTCATCCTCCCCCTCCTCTTCTTGCTCCCCCATGCGTTCCCCGAAGTCTTTCCAAACCGACTCGGGGAACAACTGGCCCGATAGCTTGAGCGGCCCCGATCGATCACCCCCTTCTAGGGGCTTCGGAAAAAGGAATTCGGAATTAAACAAATCGGATGTCAAATAATGGTATTACTTAAATCTGATTCAATTACCGGGAAGCTACCGGGAAGTTACCGGCACAGAAATAAACGTCGTGGAAGTCACACGCGGGGCGCGCGTTTTGCCCTCCATGGAAGTTCCCGGGGAGTTCCCCTGCAGGGGGGTTGCCGGCGCAGAAATAAAACTGAATCAAATTCTGAATTTCTGCAAGTGGGATTTTTCAATTCTGAGATTATTTTTCTTTTCCATCTTAGAAGAGAGGGCCTCGGGGTGATGCGTGCTTGGCCATGCTCTGGCCCAGCTGTCGGCCACAGAGGCGCTTCCAAAGGGGCAGGGGGCGGCGGTGATTCGCCGTAGGCGTCTTCGCTCTGTGGCCCCTGGTGATTTATCACGAAGGGTTCCTGGTGTGCTCTAGATGTCGTGCGTGGTGGGCGTTGGTTCTTTTTCCGAAAGATCTCCCCGTGGGGCTTCGGCCCAGCGCGCCGGCCACCCGGAAGGGACTGGAAACCATCTCAACGTCCAGAACAAAAATCCCCCAAGACGGCTCAAGATGGCCTCCAAAAAGGCACGCTGGCTTCCAAGTGCGCCCAAGAAGCCTCCAGGACGGGGCAAGAGGGCCCAAGAGGCCCCCAAGAGGCCTCCAAGGCAGCCCAAGAGGCCTCCAAGAGGTCCTCCACGAGGGTCCGAAGAGGTTTCGGCATTTGCTTCTTTGCGGCCTTCCGGCGGTCCAAGACGGCCCAAGATGGCCCCAAGATAGCCCCACGATGGCCCCGAAGGTCTCCAAGATGACCCTACGACGCCCCAAGAAGCCTCACAGACGGCCCAAGAGGGCCCCGAGACAGCCCAAGGGGCCTCCAGGACGCCCATGGTGGCCTCCAAGACGGCCCTGAAGCGCCACAAGAGGGCCCAAATCGGTTTAGAGAGGCCTCCAAGACGGCGTCCGATGGCATCAGATGGGCCAGGAACGTTCTAAGCCGGTCAAGAGGCCCAAGGAGGCTTCCAAGAGGCCTCCGAGAGGCCCACAAGAAGCTCCCGGAAGGTCCCAAGAGTCCTCCTCCTCCTCCTCAGCCTCCTCTTGCTCCTCCTCCTCCTCCTCCTCCTCCTCCTCCTCTCCTCCTCCTCCTCCTCCTCCTCCTCATCTCTATGTGTTCTCCCTCTCCTTCGCTTCTTCTTTCTCCCCCGCGTGTTCCCCGAAGGGTTTCCACAACGGCTGGGGGGAACACATGGTCGGATAGCTTGGCAGAGCTCTGGCCACATCGTTCGGCCACATGGGCGATTCCGGCGATTCCAAAAGACAGGGGGCGGCGGTGATTCGCCGTAGGCGTCTTCGATCAGGAGCGAAGCCCCTTTTTGTCAAGAAAAGCGCATGGGTGCACCAGGAGGGCTAGCAAAATAACCACGGCATGACCGAAGGAACAGCAAGCCGCGTCCGAACCAGAGCGGTCCTTACTTCAGCGTCTTGGCTGTAGAGTGGTGGAGCGACCTCGATGGAATGCGACAACTCGGCGGCATGAGAAAGCAAGGAATAGGAAAAGAGGGAGAGGGAAGAGACCGCGTCAACCATTCCCAGCAAGATCACGGGTGGGAAGCGCCTGCCCTCTTGAAAGAACTTACACGGCACAGACGACGTCTTCCCGTTGCTTTTGCCGCCTTTGCCGCCTGGCGGAGGCCACATGGACGCAGGCAAGTCAGAGGCAGGCATCTCCTTAACCATCCCCCGCCTGCCCCCCACCGCATCCCCCTCCAGTGGTCCAAGAAGAGCAGCGGGGTAAAATACCCTCACGGCGGGCATGAGAACGAATGACGAGACGGACGGCGAACAGTCACGAGGACAGGTCCCATGACGCGTCCCCAGCCCAGGGCACGTCCCCTGGTACGTCGCCAGCCATGCCCCCGAACACATCCCCTGACACGTCCCCTGGCACGCGCCTCGACGCGCCCACTTTTTGGCGTCGCGGCCCCGCGCGCGGCAACGGGGCGCACAAAGCCGAAGGGCAGTGATGCGCGCGCGCGCGCGTCAACGCCTGGCCGAGCACTCAGAGACCGCTTAGAGCCTCAATCCCCGACGCGCCCACGGACACGTCCCCTGGTGGGCGCCCTGACGCGTTCCAGAGAAGCGCCCCCTGCACGCGGCCCCGAGCAGGCTCCCTGACGCGCCTCCGCACGTGTGCCTCTGCACGCGTGCCGCGACGCGCCTGGTGGCACTTTCCTTCAGCACGTCCTCTGGCTCGTCCCCCGAGCATGCCCCCCAGACGCACAACAAGGCACGCTCCGAAACCAGGCACCATCCTTGACGCGACCCCACAGGGCCCCCGGGCCCCCGGCTCGCTCTCTGGTGCGCCTGGCACCCCCCTTGGCGGCGTCGCCAGACACGTTCCTCGGCACGCCCGTTCACGCGTCCCCTGACGCGTCACCTGCGGAGACACAGTCTTGCGCGGGAGAGGCCTCGAACTGAAGCATTCGCGCACGGTAGTGCGTCAGACCTAACTCGGAAGACTGCCTTGCTGCAGCAACATCCATCCACCTATGGATGTATCGTGTGGGCGCGGGCTTTCGCATATCTGGAAGCACGCGGGTCAGTACGGCGAGGCTACTGCCTGTCTGGAGCGTCTCGTGCCCTGGACCATCCGCCTCACAAGTTTCATGACACGCCCTCTGGCACGCCCCACGGCGTCTGCCAGCACGCCTCCAGACACGACGCTCCTGGACGTGATGTGTGTTTGGGTAGAGATTATGACGAGGGAGCGGGCCCTGTGCAGATCTCCAGGACGGGAGCTGGCGACCCCCAGAGCCCCACGCTCCCAGGCGTGCCGGGCTATCAGGTCCCTATCGGCGATGACTGGGCGATTGGGGTCGATGCACTCCCCACTGAGCCTATCCCCGCCTGGCGTTGCCCCTGAGAAAAACAGCCACCTGTTCGACGCAGCTCTTTACTTTGGCGTCTGGTCCGCGGCCCAGGCACGGCTGGCGGGGGAGCTGCCCGGTCCGGGAGCAAACGCGTGCTGCCGACGATCGTCGACCTCAACCGGAACCAGATCGCGGCGCCCTCACGCGGCCCTCGGCCTCCCATCGGGAACGCCGGAGCAGGAGCAGCGGTGCCTCAGTGGCCACGGCGGCGAGTCTCGGCACCGGGCAGGCTCCCTGGCCCATGTCCAGAGGAGCGGCCCGAGAACCAGAGCCCCTCCCGAGCCTCAGGTCGCGCATGCCCTCTCGCACACGGACTTTGGCAGAGAAATACAACATAGTCAACACATGGTCAGAAATAGTAAAAAAAAAAAAACGAGATCATCGTCACCAGACTATTTTGCTACCATTCTTGAATTTTCCTCCTGCAGAAGGACATGCCCGACATAACCCTAGCCCAATGGTCCTTACGGCAAGTTCTTGTTGTGTCGACCCCTGCGTTGGTTCCTGGCACCGCGGGGATCGCTCCGCCTCGCACGATCGACCGTTTCGGAAGCGTCAGATCGACCGACTCTTCCTCGCCGGCGGCGTTCAACGTTGAACGCCGGCAGCGGGGTCGCCGGCGGTGGGCACGACGCGAACCCACCGTGCTCCAGCGACTTGACTGTAGGTCACCACAGGGCTGGACCTAAACGTTGCTTTTCGTGCTGTGTTCGTTTTCTTTCTCCGTCCTGCTCTACCCGTTTCCCTGCACCTCCCTGCAGAAAGGAAAGGCACAACACGGCCGAAGTCCAGCGAAAAACAGCGCCTGGGCCGAGCCCCGAGTCGCCCGGCTCCGCGCCCCGCGCCACGCAAAGCGCGCGAGGCCCCTGGTGACCCTCGCGCCCCGGCGCCCCCCCGCGCTGCCGCCCCGAGGAGGGGGAGGAGGAGGGGGAGGAGGAGGAGGAGGAGGAGGAGGAGGAGGAGGAGGAGGAGGAGGAGGAGGAGGAGGAGGAGGGCGCCGGGGCTCGCGGCAGCGGGCGTGATGTCGGGGGAGGGGGCGCGGGAGCGAGGGAGGGGCGGCACCAGGGCCACCAAGGGCGAGGAGGGGCGAGGAGCGAGGGGGGGGTCCCTGGCGGGGTGGTCCCCCCTCTCGCTCGGGGCACCCCCGGCCTCGGGCTCGGGGAGGCCTCGTGGACCTCCTCGCTGGAGGTGGGCCCCCTGGCGGTGTCGGTGTCGCTTCTCCTCCCTCCGAGGGGGGGGGGGGAGCTCGCCCCCCCCCCCCCCCGATGCGATCACGGCGGGGGGCCTCCAGAAATCTTGGGAACTCCTCGAAGAAACCGCAGGGAAACTTTGCAGGTTTGGGCCAAAAAGCGTGACGTGATCCGGGAAGGGGGGGGGGTGGGAGGGCCGATCGCGCCCGTTCTCGCCCAGACCCTGAAAAAACGCACTTTCCTGGGGATGGAAGCGGCAGGGGGTCTGCGCTGGATGGGCACCGAGAAGGTCGGTCAAGAGGAGGGGGGGGACGAGGCGGCCGGTCCGATCAAGGCTGCACACGTGTGCAGTCAAGACTGATAGCATGGCAGCGCGATAGGGAACGATGCAAGCCCCTTGGACGCCCATGTCGAAGCTCTTCGTGCGGGGCTGGCCATCGAGAGTGGTTGAGGATGGACCGAAGGGGCAAGGACGCAAGGGTACCCTTTGGGAAGGTCCCCCATCCTTACCATCGGCTTCGACTGCATCCCAAGGCACCGACAGCATCATGGGGGCGGAAACGGCACCATCGGCCCCGCCTGGTGCTCTCGAGGGCCGAGGAGAGAGGAGCTTCTCATCTTGAGCCCATCTTTCACACTGCCGGCGCGGAGGATGATAAAAAACGCCGAAAACGTCAGGACCCCTTTCCCTCAGGACTCCCTTGCCCCATGGCGAAACACGCTGGCAAAAGGAAGTCTCACCGCCGAAGGCCTGGGGAGGGGGACGAACTCAAAGGACGATGAGGCCCTCTCTGCTGCCGCCGTCCTCGTGTGTGTTCCCGGTTTCTTGTTCTGTTGTTAAGACGAAGCCAAGAGGATACATCCAGGTGAAGATAAAACAGATTTTCTGAGATCGGGCGGCTCTGGAGGATGGCTCGGGCGCCGCGGCCTTCCTCAAGCGTCCAGGAACGCAGTGAGAGCGTTCCAGAACGCTCTGGAATGGATCTATCCTCGTCCTAGCCCCGTCCGCAGGAGGAGGGGCAGAGTCGGGAACAGTCATCGCACTGCCACGGCGAGCTTCGGCCACGACTAGATTCCCGACCTGGATCTGAGGAACGGCCCGCGCCGTGACTCACAATCCACCGCGCGCCGCTCTACGACTTCCCACACGTTTCAAAATACACGTTGTGTAGGCTCGATAACGGTAAAATGCTGATGTGTTGACTGGTTTGATGTGTATTGCGTGCCCGTCTATATCTGCTGCAAGTTGCCCGTGGGAGGTGCGAGTCACATCAGTCATCTGGGTGCAGGAGGCTCAGCGGATCCGTCCTGCGGAAACGACCACTACCAGGTAGGCGACGACGACAACGGCGCCGCCGACAGCGGGAAGAGGAGGATGATGCCGCATACGACGACGACGACGACGACGACGACGACGACGACGACGACGACGACCACGACGACGGAGGCGGCGGCGGAGGCGGCGGCGGCGGGGTCGGCGGAGGCGGCGGCGCCGAAGGGTGCGGCGGCGGCGTGTGGCGGCCGGGACGCGCCTCCGCCCTTGGCCCCCTTGCCGCCGCCGCCGCCGTCCTGAGCCGTCGCAGGCGGGGGGGGGGCGGGAGCAATGAGCAGAAGAAAAAACAAAGAATGCCATAAACGTAAGCTTTTGGCGCTCCGCGCGGACTTCTTGGATCCGCGCTGGACCCCCCTCCCTGGCGAGCGGAGCCCGCCAGGGGCGGCGCTGGAGGCGCCGCCAGGGGGGCCCAGCGCGGATCCAAGAAATCCGCGCGGAGCGCCAAAAGTTTCTGTTTATGGCGTTTCTTCTTCTTCTTCTTCTTCGAAAGAAGCAAGGAGCAACGCGCGGGGAAGTCACTGAGATGCTGTGCGCAGACGAAGCGGGCCACGAACTCTGCGCAACGGGGTGGGAGAGAGGAGACGCTCCCACGGGCGAGCCGGCGACTCAAGATGGGGGGAGGAACGGTACGGGAGTCGAGGTTCGTTTTCGTCGGCTCGCGGCGGTTTTCTGGTCTCAGGGTGCCTTCTGGAAACTGCGCCTCGCCGTGAGTGTCGTGGGGGTGCCCAGCTCGCCCCCAAAAGGCCTCCGGAAGCTCGAGTTTGGGCCCGAGAATCTCCTCCTCCTGCTCCTGCTCCTGCTCCTCCTCCTCCTCCTCCTCCTCCTCCCAAAAATGCGACGTCTTGATTGTATCAGTGCAGGGTCCCTGGAAGTCCCAACCGTTTCCCCAGGGACCGTTCTTCATCCCGAGTCATTTTGTTGACGGTCCCGGGGCCCAACCAGGGCACCCCGAGGCCAAAAAAGACCCAAAACCTGCCGCGCTGATTTTTCACGACGCAAACGAGTCTGGGCTCGATCCTCCTCCATCCTCGATCTCCCAGAAGAGTCGGCGACCCCCCTACTGGGCGGTGTCGGAGCAAGGCACGACGTGGGCGGCTTGTCGGGATGTGAAAAGCGGGAACGAGGTGAAGCTCATGGGGAAGGAGGGGTTCAGGGGGAGACCATCTCCGACATGCTGGCGTCGTGGAACAAAAACGTCATGGACAATGTTTGGCCGTTTTCGGCCTCGGGAGGCCCTCGTTGCGCCCAAGGACAATCACAAAAACTCGGGGACCTACTGACTGGGGTGAATGCAAACCCAGGTCAGTCGGGCTTTGCAAGATCCTGCAAGATCCTACAGGACACTGCGTAGGGTCCTGCACCCCAATGCAGGTCAGTGCAGCCCTGGCTCTGCAGGTTCCTGCAAGATCCTGCGCTCTGACTGACCACCGTTTGCTTGACCCCCGTCTCTCGAGCCCCGAGCAGCGACTCGGGATGAAAAGCCGGCCCTTGGGAGAAGGTCGGGACTTCCAGGGACCTCGCACTGAAACAATCGAGATGCCGCATTTCTGGGATCCGCTGGGAATCGGCAACGCATCGCGGATAGATCGGCTAGATCGGCAACGCATCGCGGCCAGATCGGCAGGCCTCCAACATTGAAAACTTGACGATCCCCTGGGCGGGAGCGGCGGGACACCCAGGCCCAAGTCGGCGATGTGTGAACGACTGGGGGTCGCGGCGTCTCTCGGCGGCGAGCGAGAGGAGGCAAATGAGAAGAAGAAGGCCTTCTCGGAAGACGGCGGGTCTTCTCAGAGGCCCTCTCGCCTTCTGAACGGTTGCTCTGCTGTCCTCCAGGACGGCTGATAAAAGCTGCTCAGAAGGCCGTGGGAATTCCGAGCCTTCTGAACAGGCCCGCCCCTTCCCGCTCCCTCTTCCGGGGCTCGCCGCCGAGCCGGTCCCCGGCCCACCCGGGAGGGGGGGCGGGAAAGGCTGGCCAGCCACCCTCTGGTGGTGCTGTGCTCCCTGCCCCCCCCCCTGTGTGGGCACGGCAGGCTCGTGCGGCGTCGGCGTCGGCTCGTGCGGTGCCAAGGTTTGCGACACCGCGTGGATCGTGCAGCCTCGAGTCGATGACGGCCCCGATCGGTCAAGGTCAAAGTCTGTCGGGTGCAGTGGCTCTCCCGTGTCCCTCGGTGCTGGCCCGTCGCAGAATGCAACCTCGAACGCCGTCGCCAGCGTCGCCGGCGCGCCAACGCCGCACGCACCTGCCGTGCACACAGTCTCGACGACCTCTCGAGGCACCTGCCGTACACACAGCCTCGACGACCTCTCGAGGAAGGCGCCGAAGCCGAAGGAGAGACAGCTCCCCCTGGTTTAGAGGTCTCCTAGATGGGGTCCGAGTAGATGGGGTCGGAGGATTGCGCCGCATCGCCGACGTCGATAACGCATCGGCGACGTCGGCGTGGAGAAAACCGGGCTCCGCATCAAGACGCATCGGCGATGCATCGGCGACGCGGCGCGATCCTCCGACCCCATCTGCTCGGACCCTAGCTGGGAGGCTTAGATGGTTGTGGATGGCGCATGAGACGACACCCAGAGTCGGCGGCGCGCTCGGGGGGAAAGCGAGAAGGGGCGGGCCTTCTCAGAAGGCCTGGAAGTCCCCCAACCTTCTGAGAAATTCAGCCCTACCCGAGGACACGGAACACCTCCCGATAGGCGCGAGGGCTTCTGCGAAGACCCGCCGCCTTCTGAGAAGGCCTCCTCCTTCTCGATTCCCCCCCCCCTCGCTCGCCGCCGACAGAGGCTCGAGCACAACTCGGCACGGTGCCCTTGCCGCCCTGGCGCGTGTGCCTCCGGGGTGTCCGCTCTCGGGCCCAGGGATCCTCGGAGGAAGGGCTCGGGCATGAGAGGCTGACCCCTGGGAGGGGGTCGATCGGGAGGTCTGGGGGGGGGGGGGGGGGAGGAGGGGCGAGGGGGCGGGGGGGGGGAAGCAGGCCTCGAAGGAAAACGAGGCGCCAGGCGTCTGGGGAGGAGGGGAAGGGGAGAGGGGGGGGGCTTTCAGATGCTGATCTGGAAGTTTGCGCGGGACTGCACTGCCATCTGCACACCGTGACGAGCGCGGAGTGACTCACGGGGCGGGGCCCCTCCGGGCGGGGCGAGCCTCGGCCTCAGAGGGGTTCCCCGACCAGCAGCTGCAAAAGGAGCGGCCCGAGGCCAAGAGCCCCTCGTGAGCCCGAAGCGGTCCCTCCTTTCAGCGTCCTGGCAGCGGGGGGGCTCCCGAGGGCCGAGGGGTCCTGAGCGGGGTGCGAGGAGCGGGGAGCGAGGTGCGATGGGGGCGAGGTGCGATGGGGGCCAGGCGCGAGGTGCGAGGAGCGATGGGCGAGGCGGAGGCCGGGCCCGCGCGCCCCCGGCCACCTCGCAGGCACACGCCGCCTGCCGCCCGCCACTTCGCAGGGGCACAGAGAGGCGGCACCGCCGCCGCCAGAGCGAGGCGCCAGGGAGGGCCCTCCTGGTGCCGTGCTCCCCCCCCTGTCGCTCGGGGCATCTCCGATCCCCAGCCCGGAGAGGCATCGTGGACCTCCTCGCCTCGCTGGAGTTGGCACCCCTGGTGGTGGTGGTGTCTCTTGCCTTTCCTCCGAATTCCGCCCCCGCATTTCTCATCTCCTCACGGGTCTTTAAACATGCCTATGTCTGAAATTCCCCCCTCCGAAGGATACGGGTCTGTGAACAAACGAACTTCTTGTACTACGACTGCTGACCTACAGTACGCCGCTGCAGATTCCAGTCTGGAGGTGCGCCTCCAACTTGCAGGTGGCGTTTGCTTCGTCGGACTGGTTGGAAGGTCGGTTGGTCCAATTGGTTGGTTGGTCGATTAGTTGGTTTGTTTGGATGGCCGGATTGATTGGCTGAGTTGGTTATGGTTGGCCTGCTGATTGGCTGTATCGTTTCGGGTACGTTGGCTCGCGCCTGCACCCTGCAGCGCCTCGCGCCGCGCGGAGCGCGAGACAGAGGGAGCAGAAACATGCACGTCGAGCTCGCTCGCCGAAAGGGGCAGGCGGAGACGAGGCGACAGGCAGCAGACCAATTCACGCCATTCAGCGCGCGAGCGCGCGCCGCGCAAACGGTAAGGCCAGGGGAAACAGCTGCGCGTCGGTCGGAAGAAGTGTGTCGAATCATGAACTAGGAAATCGTTGGACGTGTGTTGGCTTTCCGCCCGCCCCCTGAAGTGTGATAAACGGGAACACCGTTCTATGATTGCAATCGGAAGGCGTCTACGGTAGGTTGGAATCTGGAAGTTCGAGAATACATACTTTCAAAGACCGATGGGTACCATGCACGGACCGATTGCACTGCAGCGCCCCTGCACAGCCCAACGCACGAGAGCACTGGGAACCAACAGACGTATGTGGCGACAGCCTGTTGGCCAACGTGGGTCCCCCAAAGTGGCTTGATTGCAGTATGGAAAAAGGATAGTTATGCGGCGTAAGCTTTGGGGGAAGTAATGTCGTGCGGAGTATGTGGTATGAAACTTGGAGGTGGGGACAAGCTACATCGTGTAAGCTGGGCGGCACGAAATTGATGCAGGTGGAAGCTATAGGGTGTGAGTAATTTCTGCTCGCAGTGAGTGGACAACTCCACTGTTCGCCAAATCATCCCACCCACCAGCCAGCAATCTGGCTTGCAAAACCCATGGGGCTGCGATTGCGATGACTGCTTGGCGCTGGCTGGCGCCTCGATGCGGCCGCGCTAGAGCGCACGGGCTCGCGCTCGGAGCGGCCAACTAATCTGGCGCGACCGACGCGGCCGCGGTAGCGCTGACCGCCGGAGACTTCCCAGAGCGTCTCGCAGGCCGCGCAGACGCGCGGACACTTCAGTGCGAGTCGGTGACTCGGGCGGGCGCGGTGTCATGGCGACGTCGACATAGGCAAAGAAAATGATGACTGTGGCGATGCTTGTGACGACGATGACGGTACCGACGGCAGGGCCAATGAGGCGCCGATGTCGATCACGCCGATGACAATGATAGTGTCCCCGCGTCGGTGATGAAGATTGTCAGAAAAGATCCAGATATGCGCGCGCGGCAAACGGGCGCGAGTGGCCCGCATGGTATGATTTGGCAGGAATCGCGCCCCCAAAGCACGCGCGCAAGGGAGTTCGAATGATTCCGACATGCGCGCGCGAGACGCACGCTTGGTCGAATGTGATGAAAAGGGCTGAAAATAAATGGTTTGGAAAACTCGAAAGAACACGCGCGCAGACCTTATTGAAACGTCAAGTTGCACAGCCATGTGCTTTTATGCGTTGTGGGGACACTCGGTGTTGAAATCCTTGCGAAACCTAAATGGTGTTTGAAGGATTCCGGCATGCGCGCGAGAGGACGCACGCGTGTGCAATTCGTCAATGTTTGTGTGCTGGGGGTCATAGGAACATGATGATTTTTGACAAACGAATGTGCGATCATTTTTCCCCACAGTTCCGCGCCGCGGCCAATCGCACCACCAGAGGTTAGATCAGCAACGCGAGGCTCGCCGGCAACCGAACTTGCAAGGACGTCCGCGTTCATGGAAGCCGCCTGCGTTATCAATTTTGCGAAAACCTACACAGCCAAGGCACACAGGGCACAACAATGCTGCGCGAAGAGCGTGCAACGGAGGAGCGCCTGGCCAGCGATGGAAGTACTCAAGGAGGCGGACGGGAGGTGGCAAGACGCAAGAGAAACAATTGAAAGCGCCGCTGTCCGAAGTCCTTTTGCGAAGGTGTGATGACCCAGCCAAGCACGAACTTGGCCGCAACGATCGTCACCACAACAACATGAGCAGAAGGGGCAAGCAGCGCAAAGAGAGGAGGACGAGGAACAAAGCGAGAGACGGCACTAGCACGGTGCAGAAAGGCAACGCGATTCCAGTCAAATACTCAATGATCTGTCAAACAAGGGTCACGGCGCAAAGCGCCCATGAACAACACTTGGTATGGTTTATCAAGCGGCAAGGGACCTCCTGGATCAATAATGCACGTCGACCATATCGACATCCCCGAAGGCAGTATCGAGCCACTACCGTATGTCCTCACCGCTCCAAATGCGACTCCAATCGCCACTACCAATCGCACTCTCTTTTGAACGTTCATTGTCTATAGGGCGCTCGCTCCACCCAACGTGACCGTCAGCAGTTGCATTTGATTTGCTCTTCTCGCCGAAGCCATCAACGTCGAGCTGGTCGCAAACATAAGCAAACAGAATCAGCGCGGGAAACCTGGATGATGCATGATCAGGAATGGTATGTTCGATGACCTTTGTCCTGTTCCTACGGAACCAGCCAACAGATCAATGCTGAGGCGGCCAGGGCCTGTCGCAACCGAACACCCTCGTGGACGCTTTTGCAGGTTCTCCATCCCTGAATCATCACTGAATATGGCTTTCCCCATCCCTTGATGCTCATCTGACCCGGCGACAAGAGGTGTCTGGCAGGGCCAGTATGCCTTGAGCCCAAAACGGCTTGAGCCAACAAATCTAGAGCAAGATGGCTACATAAAACACTCAGGAAAACGATTGAAGACGGGATACACCCAGAATACACCCGGAATGCATCCGGACAATCGCTACGGAATACACCTAGAATATTGGAGTCCTGGAAATTGGCACCAACACCAGCACAGGGGGTTGCCTCCACATGGGGAAGATGATCCTAGATTTCGGTGGTGGTAATTCTTCGGTCACCTTGGAAGCCAGAATATTACCACCATCACCGAGATTGGGATCTCCTTCCCGCGGAGGAGGCACACCGCCGATCTTGGTGTTGGTGTCAACCTCTAGGCCTGCGACGGAATGCTCTCAGCTTTCAACCGCTCTCCCCAGGGGAGCCCAGAATCGAATCGATAAGTCGGATCGGCGATCGAAATAAGTCGGATCGGCAGAAATCGGCAGCCGAGTCGGGAAAAGTCGAATCGGCGGAAATCGGCAGGCAGTATGCGTCCAATGAGATATCGGAAACCAAATCGGAATGCGAAATCGAATCGAATCGGAATCGAAATCCATCGGAGTCGAATCGAATCGAATCGGAGGATTCGAAACGAGCCCTGTCTCCCTGGAGACTCGAACGAAAGGGGTCAAACCTTGCTCGCTGCGCGGATGCTACCCAGAGGTTGCCTGGCGCCCGCCCCTGGGCGCCCGTGTCCTGGGAGGCTGTGCCGAGGTCTCGCCCCTGGTGAGGTTTCGCCTGGTGCCTGGGGCGCCTCGCGGGCGCCACGCGGGCGCCTCGCGGGTGCCTCGTGGGCGCTGGGTGTCGGCGGCGAGCGCCGGGGGGGAAATGAGAAGAGGAAGGTCCTCTCAGAAGGCGGCGGGACTCTTCAGAAGCCCTCGCGCCTCCCGAGAGCCTCTCCGCGCCTTCGGGAAAGGCTTTGAGAACTTCTCGGAAGCCCGGGGCACTTCCGGGCCCTCTCAGTCGGGGATGGACAGACCCCCCTTTAGTAAAACGTGGTTTAGTGAACACGACCTGAGACCCAAACCTGGCGGGCACAAGCCTGGAAAATAACGGCCACGGCGCCCTCTCGAGAACCGAAAACGGACAATTCACCAATCGACGTGTCACTGTTGGGGGTTCTGTCCACCCCCGACTCAGAAGGCCCTCCCTTCTCTCGCTCCCCCCCCCCCCCCCCGGCTCGCCGCCGAGGGTGGGCGTGCCGAGGTTCCGCCCGGTGCCCTCCCGTGGGCGCCTCGTGGGCGCCTCGTGGACGCCTCGCAGGCCGAGCTTGCGTGTGCGCGCCGAGGCTTCGCCCGGTGCCCACCCGGGGGCCGCCTCGTGAGCTGGGCGGCCTGCGCGGCTTCCTCCAGATGATGCCCACGATCGTAGTGCACACAGCTCGCGCCACTCGGTTGGGACCGCACAGCCCACACCGCAATGGATACACCGCGTAGCTTGAAACGCACAGCTTACACTACATAGAGCACACCACACAGCTTGCCCCACACAGCTTGCACCACAAATCTTGCAACCCCACATCGATTCTCCTTTCTAAAAAGAGAATAGACTCTACCCCCCCGGACTTATCGGTTCCCCTTTCGGGTATGTAAATCATATATGATTCTGACCACTCGTCCATCCTAAATATGAAATCAAATCATCCCAGCCAGGTCGGGCTCCCCCCCCTGAGGTTCCTTTGTGAAAAACACTATGCGGTGACATAGCACTTGTTCGCGAATCCCTGGCAAAAAAACGGGACGAAGTGCGCACGCGCGCGTCGTCGCGCGCGCATGCCGAAATCCTTCGAAAACCTTCGTGCCGGAAGGATTTCGCAATCGAGTTTCCAAAAAACATGCAAAAACACAAGGTTTCGCAACACTGATTTGATAAAAAAGCTTCCGCGCGAGCTCTTGCGAAATCTCAAGAAAACCATAGGTTCTTCAAGATTTTCACAAAATGCTACCAAACGGGCTTCGCGCGCGCGCATGTCGAAATCTGTCGAACGCCCTTGCGCGTGTGCCGTCGCGAGTATCCTCTGCAAAAAATGAAACGAAGTGCAGACGCGCGCGTCGTCGCGGGCGTATGCCGAAAACCTTCAAAACCCATCGGTTTCGGAAGGCTTTCAAAATCGTGCGTCCAAAAAACCTACACAAAACCCAAGGTTTCGCAACACGGATTTTCAACAAAAGCGTGCGCGCGCGCTCTTGCGTCGTCGTCGTCGTCGTCGTCGTCGTCGTCGTCGTCGCCGTCCTGCCTCCTCCCGCGTCGTCGTCGTCGTCGCCTACGTCGTCCTCTGTCTTTTCTCGTGTTCGTCGTCGTCGTCCTCTTTGGCGTCGTTGTCGTTTCCGTCGTCGTTGTCGCCGTGGTCGTCCGTCTCCTCCTCCCACGTCGTCGTCGTCCGTCGTCGGCGTCTCTCGTCGGTTCTATTTCGTCACCGTCGTCGTCGTCGTTGTCGTCGTCGTCTTCCCTCCTCCCTCGTCGTTGTCGTCGTCGGCGTCGCCGTCCTTCCTCCTTCGTCGTCGTTCGCGTCGTCGCCGTCCTCCCTCCTCCCTCGTCGTTGTCGTCGTTGTCGTCGTTGTCGCCGTCGTCGTCCTTCCTCCCCCCTCGTCGTCGCCTTCGTTGGCGTCGTCGTCGTCGTCTCCGTCGTCGTCGGCGTCGTTGTCGTCGTCGAAGTCGTCGGAGACGTCGTCGGTGTCGTCGTCGTTGTCGTCGGTGTCGTCGTAGTCGGTCTTAAGAGGTTTTGCAAACCAAGTTGCGGGTGGGAGGGTGGGATGTTTGCGCGAGCAGTGGAGAGGACAGCTTCAAGTTGAGCAAATGATTGCTTGCACCACATAGACTGCACCACATAGCTTACACTTTTTGATCTGCAAGGCGAGAGCGAACCTCTTCCGCTGACCACATAGCTTACACATGCATTGTGCAAGTACGTATTGTTGTCCACGCTGGCAGTCATGTGTTTGTCATACAAAACAATGTTGACGTATCCAAATGTCCAAGCACTCGGATCATATGTGATCAAGGTATGGAGGCAGGCGGGCAAAAGCATACACTGGAGGGAATGGGGCGAGAGACAGCCAAGGGGACTGGAGAAAGGAGGAATGAGGGCAGAAGGAAAGGATGGCGAAGTGAAACGTGGAGCGAGAAAGATCAGATGGTCGCCCTTTTGAACCACTGTAGACAATTAGGATTATCGCAAAATTCAACTCCACCTGTCGCACGACCGTAACACGCTCAACGGTATCGCGATACCCTCTGGGGAGCACGCAATCGTAGGACAGATCGCGCAAGGGGCCCGCATGGTGCACCCTGCGTCTCGCAGGCCGTCTCTCCTGCCGCATCTGGCCTAATGGCGGTAAGCTTCCAGTGGTCATTTGGCTCGGGCAGCTCCCCCGTCCTCAGAAGGATTCTGGCCCCCCCTGTGGGAATCGGCGTTGGACAAGCTCATGCAGTCAGTGGCGCCGATACCAACGTAAGATGCTATCGAGAAAAAGCGACGGGCAACAAAGTTGTTTGAGGCGTGGAGAAGGACAGTTCGGCCAGTGGTCCCTAGTCTGTCCAGCGACTTCTGCTCAACCTTCATAGCAACCTTTCTGGCAATCATGGGCCAGACGCCAATCTTAGGGGTCTTCATAATCCAATCGAGGAAATTCTGAGGCTTTCCATTGAAGCCAGGCAGCCAACCAGGTATTTCCTTTTTCAAAGTCGCGAGATCAAGTGGCGAGTGCGGTGGACTACGTGGAATGAAGTTTGTCGCTATGACGTCGATGTGCTGCGTATCTTCTTCCATCATGAAAGCGGTCCAAGCGTAATTTTCGTCAAGCTCGAACCCAATGCGCTGCAAAGGAACGTTGATCTGTGCTCTCAGCATTCCATCCAGAACTAAGAACCTGCGGAAGGGCTGCAGATAATCCTTGCCTTCGAGCAGGCTCGACAGATCGAAATCGTTAAATTTTACGTCCACATGCAACGTGGTGCCGGCGAGCATGATGCCCATCTCGTAGCCCTCCTCGTCTTGATCCGCCACAGAGCCGTACGCACGCTTGGATGTTCGAAAGCTGCTACGTTGTCTGATGAGATCCCCGTCGCCATCGCTCGGTCGTCCATTCTCCATGCATGTGTTCGGTTTCGTGCGCTATTTTTTCGCAAGACGATCCAGGATGCAACTCGATGGCCATCGCGGAGAAAATATGCACACGTCCGAGCGATGCAAAGTTCCTGTAATGCTTCTTCAGCCGCATCCTTCAACCTGATTCCATATGTTGTTTGCTGTTCGGCGCCCCTGTCCAGGCGGCTCCAAGAGAGCTCAAGAACATCCTAAACCAGATGCCGAACGTCCACAGATCGCCCACAGAAGTCCCATCGAGGTCCCAAAAGCTACAAGACTTTCCCCGATGCCCCAAAAGGCCCAGGGAAGCCTCCAAGAGACGCTGTCTTCGTCCTCAAAGCGCTTCCAAGATTGTCCCAAGAGCGCGCTTGATCGACTTCCAGACGGTCCCACCAGAAGAGCGCATTACCATCCAAAAGACCGCACACCGAACAAACAAAGAACTCCAAGATCATCCGATGGTGCTCCAACGAACACCAAGAGCAAGAGCCCTCCAGGAGACGCCCCCTGAGGCTTCCAGTGAGGCCCTCAGAGGCGAAACAGTGTTGAACAACCCGAGAGAGCTCAATGAGCTTATGCTGCTGTCCTGTCTGAACGCACCTGGATAACTTCCGAGAACACCCAGAAGCTCGGAAAACTTCCCGAGATAGCGCCAAGAACGCCTCAAGACAGCTCTAAAAGCGCAGGTTTCGGCTTTCCGGCAGCTCCAAGACAGCCCCAAACCGAACAAAACAGCTGCAAAACCACGCTTGGCCAGGCAACGACATCTCGACAGGCCTCAAAGAGCTCCAAGAGCCTCATAGGATGCCCCAACACGCCCCAAGAGGCCTCGTTGGGGCGCTCGCAGAGGTGTCCATCGAGGCCCCGAGAGGCGAAGAAACCCCTTGAATGCCGGAGTACAACGAACGTATGTTGCTTATGATGTGTTCGGCTGCAGTCCGTATCTAGAAAGTGCCACAGAGAGCCCAGAAGCAAAAGAGACGGCCAAGAGGGCGCCGATAGTACCCCAAGACATCCAAAAGCGTCGGCGTCCAGGCAGCTCCAAGGCAGCTTAATACCGCCCGAAATGGTAACAAGACGCAGCATGACAATCCAAAGACGGCCGCACGAACTCACACAGGTTCCTGGATCCCCCCGATTTGCGCCAAGATCAAGCCCCCCCCCCCCCGAGATCCGCTAAGATGCTCCAAGAGGCCTCTCTGGGACCCCCATGTGAAGCTTCCACCCAAGCCCGCGAAGGCGAAAAGCAAAACAACAATTGTGGGGGAATGGCCGCCGTTGCGTAGGAGTCGCTTCGGCGTCAGACCGCTTCGGACAAGCCCCAATCAGCCCCCGAAGTTGGCCCAACACCGCCCCAACGGATGGCCCCGAGGCACCCCGAGAGGCGTCCCGTGGGACCCGAAGAAGCTTCAGAGCGGCCCCACGACCCGCCCAGGCGCTCCGAGATGAGCTAGCGAAGGCGGCGCTTCGGGGGAGCTCGGCGGAATCACTGCGCCCGAGACGGTCCCGAGGCCCCCGCCATGCGCCCCCAGGGGGCTCCCGAGAGGACGCAGAAGGCCCTCAAAAGGCCCAAGGGGTCCCCAGAGAAGAGCCCATTACTTGCTCAAAACGGGAGACGCCTTTGCGGCAGAAGACCAGAAGACTCGAGTCGGCCTCACACAGTCACAGTGGAAGGCACGATAGGGGGTTTCGGTGCAGTGTCATGTTGAGGGGGGGCACGATGGGGGGGATCAGGATAAGGTTAAGGATGAGGGTGCGGATATAGCGCTGGGGATATGTGCGACCGTGCCTGCAGAGAGTGGGCGTGTTGGAACGCATTGCTGTTGCCAGATGAACCTGGTTCGTGTTTTCTAACAAGCCGACGCCCCCCCGTCAGACGCACGCTCCCCCCCCCCGCCCCACCATCGACGCATGCACCCACGAAAAACTGACCCCAGCCTGGAAGTCCTTCCTGGCGGGTGCGTCTGCCTCGTGGCCGCCAGGATGGTCTCCAGGACGGCTTCAAAGACAACCAGTGTTGCACCAAGGCGTCCCAAGGTGGCTCAAAACTGCGCACGCGTCTCTCGATATAGCCGCGAGGCCGCCCGGGAGGCTTCCAGGACGGCCCAGGAGAGCCCCAAGAGGCCCCCCAGGAGAGCCCGAGGCGGCAAACACCATTGAGTCCCCTTCGGTGTTTGAGGGTTTGAAGTTCTCGCCTGTGGGTTGGCGACCGCCCAAGATGGCCCCTATATGTCTCAAAGGGAACTCCAAGCCAGCCCTGTAGGCCTCCAGTATTTGCTTGACCACGCAGGTCGCTCCACTTCATCAGCGTCAAAGCCATCATGGGGGATGATGGCCAGGCTGCCCAACAAACTCCACAAAAAAACAATCATAATCGTCAGACTGGCTCTTTGTGCTGATGGGGGGGGGAGGATAGGCGGGGTGCCCGCCCCCCTCCTCCTCCTTCCGCGAACTCACCGCCACCTGCGATAGCAAGTGATCGGGGGAACGGCGGAACAGGCACAAATTCCTCGACGTGGCGAGGGGTTGGGGCTGACGACGGAAAAACACCTTAAGAAGGACCGTCAAACCACGGGCCTCGCTCGATGGTTCGGTACGCGCGTCTCGGGCGCACCTCTTTGCAACTCTCAAGCATGCAAACCTCGCTCCAACACTTTGCGAGCTCTGGAGGAGGCAGATCCTGAAAAGATTCCACGCTCTGCCGTGGCAGCTGTAAGTTTTGCACCGCGAGCGCGCAACCAGGGCCACTCGACATGCCAATACAAGTGTGCCCACGAGCTTCAAAAAACTGGGGAACAAGTGTGGGCCTCCCCGAACAATTCCCAAGAAGGGCGATCTACCCCAGGGAACTTCCCTGACAGTAGTTTTGGGGGATTGGCCGCCGCGGGACTCAACCAAACACGCTACGCGCTTCCAGCAAAAACAGCCTTAAGCCAAGCGGGGTGGAATGGGTTCCTTGCCGAAGGTCATCACTCCGAAGGGCACCTAAAAAGCCTCTGGCCCACAAAGGCTCCCCGAGTTTTCCGCATGATGTCTCGTTCCCCAGAAAAGAAAAACAACTCCGCTGGGCTAGAAATTCAAACTGTTTCCTGCTGCGCTGGTGCGCGAGCACGGTGGCGGGGTTTGCCACCAGAAGCTAAATAGGGATAGGGATCTAATGATAGGGGAAGAAGGATACAGGGACGTCGGGCCACAACCATACCTCTAAGGATGTGAAAATCCAGGGATATCGGAACATCGGGATATAGTGATATGGGGATCGAGGGATTTAGATATAGGAGAGAACGCGTTTCACGGGCGCTTGTCTGGGGAAACATTCGGCGGCGCGTTTCGAACCGAGGGGTGGGCGGGCCCCCCCCCCAACACTCGGCGCCGTCGATCAAAACCAGGGGGACTCCCCTCCCCCCGGATTTGCCCCCTCCCGAACCTCCCCCCCCCTCGGCGCCGGCGCCGGCGCTGGCGGCCGCCAGCAGCGCCAACGGCGGGGACGCAGCGACGATGACCAGAGGCAGCCCAAGGGGAAGGGGGGGGGTTCAAACCCTCCCCCACCCCTGGCGCCGGGAAGGGGGGGGGTTCAACCCCCCCACCCCCTCGCGCCGGCGCCGGCGCTGGCGGCGGCCAGCAGCGCCCACGGCGGGGACGCAGCGACGATGACCAGAGGCAGCCCCAAGCGGGGGGGGTGGGGTGGTCCAACCCCCCCCCCGTGGCGTTGGGGGAGGGGGGGGGTTCAAACCCCCCCTCCCTCGCGCCGGCGACGGCGGGGACGCAGCGACACTTACCACCACCACCACCACCACAACCACCACCACCACCACCACCACCACCACCACCGCCTCAACCCACCACCACCACCACCACCAACAGCACCACACAACTACCACCACCACCACAGCCACAACCACCACCACCACAACCACCACCACAACTCACCATCACCACCACCACCACTACAAAAACCCACCACCATTACCACCACCACCACCACAATCTACCACACCACCACCACCACCACCACCACCACAACCACCACCACTACCACCAGCGCAACCCACCAACACCACCACAAACCACCACAAACCACCACAAACCACCACACCACCATCACAACCACCACCACCACCACAAACCACCGTCGTCCTCGTCGACGCTCCCCGCCACCGCCGCCTGCCGCCGCAAGCGCCGGCGCCAGCCCAGAAATGGAAATAGTCGTCCCCGCCGCCGCCGACACAAGAGCCGGCCCGAGGAGAGGGGACACAGAGAAGGGAGGGGGGGGGAGGGGTTCGAACCCACCCCTCCGTCACGGGAGGGGGGGGGTGTCCGTTTCACAAACCCCCCCCCCTCCAAGCGACCACAGAACGCGCTCTTTCAGATATAGGGATTTCGGTATAGGGATGGGGATGAACGCAGGGATACGGATAGGGAAATACAATAGGGGCAAAAGGGATAGGGATCGGGATGGAGATAGAAGAATCGGGATGGTGATAGAGATAGAAACGGCAATGGGAGACCACGGAGTGGAACGGGAGGCCAAGGCAGGTCAAGGGAGAGAAAGAGGCCGCGGACACGGAGATGGCGCTCACGACCAGCACCAGTTCAAGCCATGCACTGAACTGGCGTGGGTCTCAAACTCGAACTCCTCCTGCTGCGCTGCTGCGCTGGCACAGTGGCGGAATGTGCCGCAGGCAGCTGGATACGTAGATGCGCATCCTACCTCGGGGGGACATCGGGGGCGGCCAAGAGGGGGGCGTCCAAGAGGGGGGGCGCAAATCATGGCCGGCGGCACGTGCGCGGCCCAAGGGGGGGCCAGGGACGTAGTGAAATAAGAACAGGCGCCGTGAATTCTGGGAACTATCATGGACCCGGAATGATATCCACCCCCCCTAGTCATCACCCCCCTCGTTGCCGCCCCCGAGGCTAACCCTGGGTGATTTCGATTGTGCCCGGATAGCCAGTCATTGACTCATCGATCCGCAACGGCTCCACGCCCAGCGTAGACACCCCCGGAACCATGACTGGAAGCAAGCTGTTCAGGACGGCAACGAGCCTCGCTTTGATGTCATAGCCCTGCTCGGTCTGGTTCTCCCTGCGCACCAGATCCTGCTGCACGTGCTGCTCGACTTCGGCTTCCTCAAAGTCCATGGTCATGACACGCTCTGCGCGAGAAAGCACGACACTCGAGGAAATGCAGAGACATGCTAAGACAGCACGCCTTGGAGCCATACGTTCGAGATCCCTCTGGAACCTCGTGGAATTTCTTGGAGGACACGGCGGACCAGAGCCCTGCGCTCCAGCT